TATATATTTTTTAGAAAGTACTAATTTATAGGAAACCTATTTTGTACAGGTGAGTGGTGATCGTATGTGGGCACTACTGAAAGAGCTCAGCGGCACTCCCCAAGTACTATTTTCTTGTGTATTTCTTCATAACTATTGTCCGCTCTTCTTTCTTAAGGATTCTGCAAAAAATGTCACCCCACCTGAACTGAAGGTTAGCTTTCATTGAAGATTATATCATGTGTTTGTACATACATGGTATACAATACCAACAAGATGAAGAATTAGACATGTGCATACTTTTGTCAACTGGAACAAGATATGTAATTTTGTACTATCATAGCTGTATAGCCCTTGTGGCTTAGCGCTTCTTTTTGATTATAATAATAATTGTACTATCATAGTACAATGCACACAGCTGGCTAGAATTTGAGTAACTTATAAACACAGTAGCACTATATAACACGCTAGGTTATTCCAAAATATTTTATTGTTTTTAACTGTCACCATGTTATCTACAGATTTAGTGAGCTTTAGTGAAGATAAAACAGTTGAGAATGAACCATATCTGTTAAGCAGTAATTTCACTACAAATAATATTCTTGCATAACAGGTGAAGGAACGAGCCAGACTTGAAGGAATCTGTGATGACGCATTAGTGAAGACAATAAAACTTCTTGGGGTGGAGCACATCGTTGGTGTGGGAAACTATGCTACAGACCGAGCACGGGCAGCATTACTTAAGGCTGGAATGGAAAGTGTCCAAGTATGTGTTTTAAATTTGAAAAAATTTAACATCATGCAAGTGTTTCATTTTTACATAAATTATGAAAACAAATTTAAAAAAAGGGTAGATAATATATTTTACGAAATAATCTTTTACTCTATTGTACCACACAAGTTTTGTCCAAAGAATTTAAAAGGCACAATATTGTGACTGGAAGAGTACACAAATAACCTGCATATAGGAGATTGAAACTAATGACAATGTTTCAGTCTGGTGTGACTAGTTAATAGTCCAGGTCAGACCGAAATGTCATCATAAGTTTGTCTTCTATGTGCGGGTTATTTGTGTAAGCTTTCTCTAGTCTTCAGATACTCATGGAAAAAAATAAAACTCATGTCCAAAGGGTAATGGAGATTACAGTTTTGGGTGTCATTTGTTCAGGAAAAAGGAGGTACAGGGTTACTATCATAAGTCAATCTTTGCCAGCACAAGTAGATAAAATCCATTGTCCTGCTCTTGCTGTTGAACATTGAATGGATACTGCTTCCAAAAATCTGTACCCAGTTTATCAGATTTTTAGTGATCATTACTCATCCCAGTCCATGGAGTGACAAGGATAATTCTGATTTATCAACCCTTGGATTTGGGCAAATCAGCAGGCTTTGTAAAGCAACCAACTAAAACAACGAGATTTTTAGAAGTGGCAGCCAACCAAAAGTTTAAAATTGTTAGCACCCTTGAGCTCATTCTGAAGAAGTGACCCACCACAGTAATCACCACTTGCCTCCTCTCTCTCTGTTGTGAACAATATGTATGCTTTTGTGTTTTTCTATAAATTTGAAACTTTTATAGTAAAACATTACCCCTAACAGACTCGCTACCCTATAGATAGTTTTGCTTGGACAAATATTTAGTCTATATAGGGTATTTTGCTCTAATATTTGTTCATGCAGTGCTAAGGAGCATTACTTGATATTGCAATCTTTAAAAACTTGCAGTTTAATTGGACATGTATTAGACGAGTGACATGCTTAGTGTCCTCAGGAATATTGACAAAAATTTTAAATTTCTGCTTTTATTTTTTATCTCATTTCAAGCTACTTCCAGTCCTCAAACCAATCAAAATCATCTCTATTTCAGTAACATATTTTACATTCTGTAAAATAATACCAAGAAATTGAGAAAATACATCCAAAAATACACTGCAAAGTTGCTGTATTAAACCATACACACGGTCATTTTTTTTTATATTGTGCACTGCATGGGGCAGGATTTTTCTGACATGGTGCACGCTCACCACACACCCATTCTCTCATATCTAGGCCAAAATTTACTGCTCACAGTTTATCTGAGTGAGCTGAATTCATCACATAGTACAGTACTATGACATGGACCCTGAGCTCAAAGCCATAGTACTACAGCACAGACCCTGAGCTCAAGGCCATAGTATAGTGGCATGGATTAATATCAAGATTGTTTGAGGCGAATAAAAGTATTATTACTGGGTGGTTTCATGGTAAACAGGCAAATTAGCCTACTGATACTACTCTCAGTTCATCCAACTCCACCTGGTTTACCTTTGCCTATCGGTACTAAGCTCCAATGAATTTTTACAATTATTTTTTATTATGTACCCCTCAAGAAAAGGTTCCTTGATGCTGGTGAGGGGCTCTTGATCTAGGGAATTGGATCTGTTCTCCAGTTCCCTGAATTAAACCTGAATACCTTTCACATCCCCCTTCAGGCGCTGTATAATCTTACGGGTTTAGCGCTTCCCCTTGATTAAAATAATAATAATTTGATTATGTATGTTTACAAAATAGTTTACACAATTCATTATTGGGTCATAAACAAGAGCTTAGATTACTGTCTAGTATCAAAAGATTTCTCTAGGCTTAGGTTGAAGCCAGTGAGCAATGTAACCTTCGGCATCCAAAATGCCAGGTAAATTTTTGAGACTTATATTGGGAAAAAAGTAGAGTCATCGACACTAAAATACAGTAATTGCTGATGACAACAAACTGGCGTTAGTACAAATATGAGGCTTGTCTGTCTCAGCTCAACAGATGGAGGATCAAGCCTCCACCACGTCTTATGCGGAATGATCCATTTGTGGCACATCATATCAACACAAAAAACTTTCAGATTTTGAAGGTTTTTGGATTTTAGGATTTCAGATAAAGGATTCTTTACTGTATTATTATTTATCATGATGGAAAGCCATGAGTATAGTCTCTAAATGTTGTAGGATTCCTTGCAGAGTGGCATTTCATACGATCCAAATACTTTTGCTATTTTTTAACGTATATTCATCTCCCGCCAAGGATGACCAAAAAAATCACCATCGTTCAGTCACCCAAAAATAATTTTATCACAGACATTTTCCACCGTGATAGGCAGATCTAAAGGAAATGCATTTTTTCTGTCATTCCAGAAGAGCACGGACATCACAATACAGTAATTATTACTGATTTATTAATTTTTTTTATGTTTGCAGGTTTGTACTCTGATGCATCCCAGCCCAGTTAATCCAGCTGCTAATAAAGGTTGGAGAGACATTGCTATTAAACAGCTAACAGACAATAATATTATACATTATTTTCAATCTAATCCTTTAGGGTAGATAAAAAAAATTAGTACAAATATAATGTAGGCTGTAGTTAACTAGTGAAGACATGGTCTTGTAGTTTTAGCCTCTTATAACAACTATTATTATTATTACAATCATAACCAAATGCTAAACCCACAAGGGTATAGCTAAGTGTTACTCTACCTTCAAGATGACAGATCAACAGAAAGACCAATGGATGTCAGAAGCTTTTAGTCAAGCACAAGTGGCATTATCTTCTGGAGAAGTACCAGTGGGTTGTGTGTTTGTTTTCAATGGTGAAATTATAGCCCGAGGTAGAAACACAGTTAATGAGACCCATAATGCCACTAGACATGCAGAAATGAACTGTATTGATCAGGTGCTAATGTGGTGTAAAAGTAAATTGTTAGACCACAGAATAGTATTTCCCAAGATAAGCATTTTTGTCACTGTGGAGCCATGTGGCATGTGTGCCGATGCTCTCGGCCAGTTACATGTCTCTGACATAACGTATGGTTGCTCCAATGATCGCTTTGGTGGTTGTGGTTCCGTTGTAAATATACCAAAATTATACAAATATCCAATGAAAATTCAGAAGGGAATTCAAGCTGAAAAAGCAGTAGAACTTCTTAAGGATTTTTATAAAGGAGAGAATCCCAATGCTCCAACTGGAAAAGCAAAAAGAAAAATTAAAACTACCTAAAGCATAACAAAAAGAGGGAGAAATAATCCAGGCACAAATAGCCGATTCACTGCAATGTGTGCAGCACAACTGCTGCTGCATCATGAGCAAGCTGTAAACAAAAGCTCTTACTGAAGTTATCAGATGGTAATCGACCCCAATATTGCCACAAATCAAATTTCATACGGCACTTCTCATTACCAATTTGTGCAACTGTGTAATATTATTAATGTGTCCCTACATTTTGTCAATAAATACTGAAATGTCACACTATTGTGAATGTAACAGTGATAATTGTAAAAATTTTATCTGATCCTTTAATGTTCTTTTTAATTTTACGAATATTTAAACTTGCCATTTTAAACAAATATTAAGAAAAATGTAATTCAGCTACTTGTAGACATAATTTAAAATCAAGTAAACTTTAAGGAAATTTACAAATGATTTTGCAGTAATATTCAGTAAATATCTGCACAGTGGCTGTGACAGCATGTGTTTTAGACAGTATGCGATACATTATGTTGATCTACAGTGAAATTAGTTTCACTTATTTCCATTATGATAATTGTACTGAAAATTTATTGATAAGTAATAAACTTCTAAAATCCACAATATGATTATTACTGTGATCCTAAGAGCATCAGTGGTAAGTGCCAGTATCAGCAACTCACTTTTGATAATTTTTTAGTAAACAAAATTAAGCTTAAACTTGCAAAATATGCTTGTAGTATTCATGTACAACTCTGGGTTTAGTGGTTACTCTGATTATATGACTGAGTTAGATCAACACAACATATGACATTTCACAAGGTCAAAACTTCTATTGATATTTCACATAGGTAATGATAGGCTGTGGTAAAAGTCAACCAGTGGGAATAAAGATGCTGGTGGTAGAGAAACCTTTTAATACAATGTGTTGACCAAGGCTGGACTTTATCAGGTACTTGATAAATTCCAGCCTTGAGCAATACCTTGTATTAAAATTCTCTGCTACCATTGAAGCTAATGTATGTACTTTAATCAAGGAAGTGCTAAACCTGTAGGGGTCATACAGCACTTTCGGAATGGGAAGCAATAGTTTGATCCAAGGCAAAGGCGACAAGTTCAATTCCCTGGAGCAAGAGCCCCTAATCTCCAAGAGGAGGTTAGATCCAAAGAAAGGGAAGATCCTTGTTTCTACAGCATTTAGACTCCCGACCCCTTGCAGTAAGTGAAAATTGACAGCAAATAGAAAATAACATATTATTATAATCAAAAAGAAGCGCTAAGCCACAAGGGCTATACAGCGCTGCAGGGTAGGGAAGGAAGCGAGGGTATTGGATGGCAGAAGGGAGGAGGGATGATCAGTAGGTTACAGAAAACAGCAGGGCAGGGGATAGTACGGGGGTAGAGGGTAGCAAGAGATTGAAGTAAAAAGGGCTGAAGGTATCAGAATTTGTGAAGTCAGTCAGTTGTTGTCAAAAAGTCAATGAGAGAGTCTGGATGAAAGGTGGGTCCATCAGCAAGAAGGGAAGGTAAAGAGAGAGCAGCGGAGCGAAGACGACGACGGAGGTAAATTCTGCGTGCTCGTTGATAAAGTGGGCAGTCCAACAGAATGTGGCTGACTGATAATGGAACTTGGCAATTCTCAGAGAGGAGCAGGGCGCCTCTCCATGAGATATCCATGAGTAAGACGAGTATGGCCAATGCGAAGACGGGAGAGAGTAGTCTCCCAACCTCGACACTGGTGATAAGACGGCCAGTAACCTATACTCGGTTTAATAGATTGAAGTTTGTTGCCGAGCATAGTAGACCAACGTTGTTGCCAACGGGTGTGAAGGTGGGAAGATATTGCAGCAAAATAGTCCGTAAATGGAATACCTCTACATGAAACTGGTAGGTCATGTACTGCTGACCGCACAGCAGTGTCTGCCTGTTCATTGCCCTGTACTTCAACATGACCAGGGACCCAACAAAAAACAATATCTTTATGCTTGGTAAAGATGCGGCGTAGCCAAAGTTGGATACGGTGGACTAAGGGGTGAGGTGTATCAAATTTCTGTATAGCCTGTAAAGCACTAAGGGAGTCTGAGACAACCACAAATGATGACACAGGCATAGATGCAATACAGATAAGTGCTGTAAGGATGGCATACAATTCAGCAGTAAAAATACTAGCCGAAGATAGTAAATGCCCTTGTACGACGCTGTCCGGAAACACTGCTGTGAATCCTACGCCGTCAGAAGACTTAGAGCCATCTGTGTACACAGCAATGGCATGAGAATGAGAGTGAAAGTGGTCAAGAAAAAGAGAGCGGGAAGCGACCGTAGACAGTTGGGCTTTCGAGCAAGGGAGAGAGAAAGAACAGACTCGAACAGCTGGAACTTCTCAGGGGGGTAGGGAAAAGTGAGATGCAACATGTACATAGAAAGGTGGTAATTGAAGAGAAGACAAGAGCGAATGAAGGCGAAGAGAGAAGGGACGGAGTAAACAGGGGCGGTGAACAAATAAAGAATGTCTACTAATATCAGTGACCATTCTATAAATGGAAGGATTGCGGAGATCATGAGAGCGTACATAGTAGCGAAGGCAATGGGCATCACGGCGATCGGATAAGGATGGAACGTTCGCTTCTGCATAGAGGCTGTCGACAGGGGGAGAGCGAAAAGCACCAAGGCATACACGTAATCCTTGGTGATGAATGGGGTTTAGGCTAGAGAGAGCAGCAGGAGATGCCGCTGAATAGATCTGGTCACCATAATCAAGTTTCGATGGTGGGTTTAAGTGCTGGAAAATTTAAACCCACGTGTGGTGGCCCAATTGGAAACACGGTCGACTGCATGCTGGAGAGAAATTGTAATAAGGTGACAGTCAGCGCCTGCACAGGCAATAGCGAAGTCATCAACATAGAGTGATGACCAAATGTTTGATGGAAGACTAGAGGCCAAATCATTAATAGCAAGGAGAAAAAGTGTTGTGCTCAGAACACATCCCTGGGGGACACCTTCAGCTTGGATAAAGTCCGGGGAGAGCACATTATTAACCCGAACACAGAAATGCTGTCAGTTAAAAAGTTCTTAAGGAAGGATGGTAGATTGCCTCGAAGGCCTAAGGAAGTGGGCTTGGGCTAAAATATTATACCTCCAAGTTGTGTCATATGCCTTCTCAAGTCAAAAAATATGGCAATAACTGAGTGGTTATTCCGCAAAGGCATTACGAACATACGTATCCAAGCGTAGTAAGGGGTCTATGGTAGAACATCCTTACGAAAAGCCATATTGACGAGTGGAGAGACTGTTGTGTGTCTCTAAATACCACACTAAATGTCTATTTACTAGGCATTCCATCACTTTGCAAACTGCACTGGTAAGAGCAATGGGATGATAGTGGGAGGTTTCATGTCCCGTAGTGCCTGGTTTGCGGAAAGGGAGAACAATGGTGGATTTCCACAGCTGTGGAAGAACTCCTTGTGACCAAATAAGATTGTAAAGGCGTAATAGGACTGCAAGGGCTGACTGATGTAAATGTTGTAGCATACGAATATGAATGTCGTCGGGCCCGGCTGCCGATGATTGGCAAGCTGAGTGTGTTGCCTCCAGTTCTTGAAGTGTAAAAGGCACATTATACTGTTCTTCTCTGAGAGAAGAAAAGTCCAAGGGTGCTAACTCTCTGGCAGACTTTGAGGAAAGAAATGAGGGGCATAGATGGAGTCCCTGAGAAATACGGACCAGATGATTGCCAATTTCATTGGCAACATCTAGTGGGTTTGCTATATCAACACCGGCAACCCGCAGAAACAGGAGCCGGGTAAGAGAATAACCATCGTTTTCGTACTTTTTTCCAGACGCAC